GGAAAGAGGGAGGGTCTTTGGGCGGATAGAATGAGAGGAATCCCAAGGATTGAAGAGCGCCCGTGGTTGTAGGACCGGAGGGATGGGGTTCCTAAATCCAAAGGGGAGACTTCCTCAAAGGAGTAAATTTGGAGAGAAGGAAGGCAGGGGACTGTGAACGCAGGCTTCAGATCACACCGCAGACGGAAGCCTCTTCACCCCACCCCACTCCCGCCCGCAGCGGGAGTGCAGCAAACCCCGGGCAGAGGGGGAGGGGCTCCGGATGCGGGAATGAGGAGCCTGGATGCTGGCCTGAGCCGCTCTGCTCTTGTGTTTACGCAGCTGGAACCCTACATGGATGAGAACTTCATCTCCAGAGCCTTTGCCACCATGGGGGAGACCGTGATGAGCGTCAAAATTATCCGAAACCGCCTCACTGGGTATGTTCTCTCCTTCCGTCTCAGCCTCAGGTCTCCTCAGTAGATCGCGCTGCAAGTGTCATTCAGGAGAAGGTAAACATCGCAAGAGTCGGGGTTTCTCACCCCTAATAATGTTATTGTAATGATATAAGCATTTGGGGGCTTGTTAAGAGGACGTATAGCGTATTGCTGACTCGAGCCAGACTGGTTTTGAAAGCTCTGTCTGCTGTGTGACCTTGATCAAGTTATTTAACCTCTCCCTCTTCACCTTGCCTATAAAAATGGAGATAATAAAAGCACCTACCTCATAGAGTTCTGGTGAGGATTAAGTGCCACTAATTCACATTCAGCGTTTAGAACGATGTCTGGCATATGGTATATGCTTAGTAAATACAAACAGATTATGATCTGCTAGGTAATAAGAACTTTAAAATCGCAAAAACCTCTGAGCTAAGTACTGTTATTAGAGAAGCTTAACAACTGTCTTAAAGTTACACAGCTTTTAAATGAGAAGCCAGGACTGTAATTCAGCTCTGTTCTCAAAGCTCATGAGTGCCCTTAACTCTTATGTGAATAAGATGCTACCTATGTGCTGCTGTTCTAGATTCCCTGGATACATGGCTAAAACTAGCCAGACGTAGTCCCTCCTCTCGTGGAGTTTACTACATGCTAATGGGGGAATGAGGTAATAAATAAGTATACAAAACGAAATGCAGAGAATACTTTCAGATAGAAGTGCTCTATTGCCTCCAGTTTCTTCTTTCTCTCTTAGGAGCTTAGGTTTCCTTAGGGTTCTAGTTAGAAATAACAGGATTCCTTTATCAATTTGACAGTGTTTATTGAGCATCTACTCTGTGCCAAGTACTAAAGCAGCTTGCTAAAATGTCAAATAGTTGAAAAATACAGGTGAGAGACACGAAATGTGGCCAGGTTTTTGGCTGTTTGGTGAACAGGTACTTTGTGTATTCAGAACCCCGGTACCCAGGGACGGATTTTCTGACTGGTAGAGCATGCTGGCCTAAATGTTTTTCTTCTTGTCCCTGCAGACAGAAAACCCCGATAATCAGCTACTGGCATGAAAATACATTCTGTAATACTTTATTCTTTTTAAAACAGTGATATAGGTTCTCACATTTTAATCTTTATTAAGAATTAGAATTATCCTTTCATACCATTGATTACTAAACTCTAGCTGATTTTTTATGGTGGCATTTACAGACACATTACATGTGCATTCTGTTTCATATGACAAAGACTTTGAAGTGGCGTATAAGAATACTGTAAAATAAATAAACGTAAATTAAAAACCAGGAACTGAGAAAATATGGGAAAAAGATAAGACCCAAGAAAAAATAATATGCAGCAGAGCATAGTGCTTAAGAATATAGTGATTGGTGATTGGGGACTTCCCTGGTGGCGCAGTGGATAAGAATCCGCCTGCCGATGCAGGGGACATGTGTTGGATCCCTGGTCTGGGAAGATCCCACATGCCGCGGAGCAGCTAAGCTTGTGCGCCCAACTACTGAGCCTGCATGCCTAGAGCCCGTGTTCCGCAACAAGACAAGCCCCCGCTCGACGCAACTAGAGAAAGCCGGTGTGCAACAGCGAAGACCCAATGCAGCCAAGAATAAATAAAATTAAAGCTTAAATAAAAAAGGAAGGATATAGTGATTGGTTGCAAAACAATATGAATGTACTTAATACCACAGAACTATATACTTAAAAATGGTTAAAATGGTACATTTTATGTTTTGTATACTCAACGACAATTTTTAAAATTCAACAAAGAAAAAAAAAGAATGCAGTCACATGTGGAGCAGCCACGTCTTTCATCACTGGTGGGACTATAAAATGGTATGACCCCTGGGGACAAGTGTCTGGCAGTTTTCTTTTTTCTTTTTCTTTTTTTTTTTTCGGCCATGCCGCACGGCTTGCAGGATCTTAGTTCCCCAACCGGGGATTGAACCCGGGCCCTGGCAGTGAAAACATCGAGTCCTAACCACTGGACCACCAGGGAATTCCCTGGCAGTTTCTTAAATACACCTACCACCATATGGCACAAGTCTAGTCCTAGGTATCTTATATATATATATTTAAAATATCTGTTTATTTATTTGGCTGCGCTGGGTCTTAGTTGCCATGTGTGAGATCTTCATCGTGGCATGTGGGCTCTTTTTTTTTTTTTTCTTTCATTTCCCTGACCAGGGATTGAACCTGGGCCCCGTGTGTTGGGAGTGGGGAATCTTAACCACTGGCCCACTGGGGAAGTCCCTAGTCCTAGGTATTTACCCAAGAGAAATGAAAACATGCATCTACCAGAAAAAAGACTTGAAAAAGGATGTGCGTAGCACATTGGACAATGGCCCCAAACTGCAGTCCAGGTATCCATGAATAGGGAAATAGATAAATAAATATTGGTATATTCATACAATAAAATACCACTTAGCAATAAAAAGGGACAGACTACTAATATAGTGACAACATGAATGAATCTTAAAAACATTATGCTAAATTAAAGAAGCCTTACTGCATTTACATAAAGTTCTAAAATACACAAAATTAATCTGGTGGAAAGAACTCAGCATCTTGAAGAATTTGTGCATTTCATTGCATGTAAATTTAACCTTAAAAGGAAAAAACTAAATCATTGAACTCTAGTTAATAATAAGCATGTTAAAGTAATTGAGGAAAGTATACCAATATCTGCAACTTACTTCGAAATGTATCAGAAAATAAGGATGATAAATGGGTAGGGGCATGGATGGATGGATAGATATGTGATAAAGTAGGTATAATAAAATGTTAATTGTAGGTGGTGGGTATATATACATATATATGGTGTTTTCTATGCAATTCTTTCAATTTTTATATTTGGAATTCTTCAAAATAAAATGTTCTGAAAAGAATGTAGTCAGACTATCCTGAATTCAAATCCAGCCTTTGGCATATACCAGCTGTGTGGTTTAAGGAATATTGTATAATGCTAAATCTCAGTCTCCACATCTAAATAGGAGCAATGGTTTCATTCCCTCATAGAGTTATGTGAGGATTAGATGAGATGGTGCATGTGAAGTGGCTAGCACAGTGCTTGGACCGTAGTGAGTGCTCAGTAATGCTCAACTCTTACTGGTGGTGGTCTTTATATCTGTGAGCCTTAAGATTCTAGCACACACAAGACAGAAGGCACAGAGATGGCCCACCATTCTTCTAAGCGTCAACATTTATGGAGCTCATAGACTGTTCTGAGATCCTTGGGCTCAGGTACTGCCCTTGCCCATACCTTTTGGCTTGGTGTCCAGAAGGTTATTTGAACTGAATATCATAGTTCCAGAAAAGTCTGGTTTATTTCACTGGTGATAGCTTTAAGGAGGCATTTGAGGAAAATTAACTGTTTTCAGTATAAATCTCTTAGGAGGAAGGGATGTCAGAGGATCTAGCCACATCCTCCTACATATGTCTCTTAGTGATGCTTTAAAAAATAGAACACTAGGAATCTCACAGACATCCCCCAATTAGGTAAGGTCCATAGATTTACGTTGTCCAAATAGATTTCAAGTTTCTAAATAGGAACCATGTTTTTCAACTCTGTATCAGCCTGGCTGGTGGTAGGTGATCCAAAAAAACCTTTTAAATTATGAAAAGTTTAAAACAAATGTAGAAAGAAGAGTACAATGAACTCTCATACAGCCACCCCCTAATTTATTTTTATTTTTTTGTAAATTTATTTATTTACTTTATTTTTGGCTGCCTTGGGTCTTCCTTGCTGCCGCGGGCTTTCTCTAGTTGCGGCAAGCAGGGGCTACTCTTCGTTGTGGTGCGCGGGCTTCTCATTGCGGTGGCTTCTCTTGTTGCAGAGCACGGGCTGTAGGCGCGCGGGCTTCAGTAGCTGTGGCATGTGGGCTCCATAGTTGTGGTGCATGGGCTTACTCACTCCGTGTCATGTGGGATCTTCCCGGACCAGGGCTCGAACCCATGTCCCCTGAACTGGCAGGCAGATTCTTAACCACTGTGCAGGGAAGTCCCTCAACACCTAATTTCAAAAATCGTTAATATGTTGCCATATTTTTCTTATCTACCTGTCTATAAAGATAGATTTAGATAGGTATATATTTTTTTTTTGCTGAACCATATGAAAGTAAATTACAGGCATTATGACATTTCACTGCTAAATATTTGAATATACATTGCCAATAACTGGACATTCTGTTACATACCAACAATGCTCATATCACACTAACAAAATTAATGATTCCCTAATACCACATAATGACCAGTCTACATTTAAATTTTTATGATTGTCCCCAGAATACCTTTTATAGCTTTTGTTTTGTTTTGTTTTTTTGTTTGTTTTTTGTTTGTTTTTTAATGAATTAGGATCCAGTCAGAGATCAGATCCTGTATTACATTTGGTTCTTTTGTCTCTTTTTAATGTAGAAAAGCCCACTTCTTTCTTTTCTCAGAACATTGACTTTTTTAAGACGTAAGATTGCCTCACATAAGGTTCTACGTTCTGGATTCCGGTCCTGCATTCTGGATTTGTTTGTTTCCTTGTGGTGGTGTTTTACTTGTTCTGTTCCTAATATTTCCTATAAACTGGACATTAGATCTAAAGGTTTGATTGGATTGCATAGTAAACATTAATAGTATGGGCTCTGATTAGAAAAGGATTTTTTCCTCCCTTCAGGCCCAGACTCAGTCTCTCAACTGGGTATCACATCTTTAACCATTACCTTTTTCTGTTTTCTTTCCAGGATCCCAGCTGGCTACTGCTTTGTAGAATTCGCAGATTTGGCCACAGCTGAGAAGTGTTTGCATAAAATCAACGGGAAACCCCTTCCAGGAGCCACACCTGTAAGGACACTGAGATAATGATGATGTCACCATTTTTACTGTTATCGATAACTTATTTATTGAATCCCAACTGTATATTTTATTTAATCCTGTAACAACCCTAAACAGTAGGCATTGTTATCTTTGACAGACCAGGAAACTGAATCACAGGGAAATGGAATAACTTACCCAAGGCAACACAGGTAGTAAGTAGCAGAGCCAGGATGCAAACTGAAGATTGGTTGCCTCTAAAATCCATTCCCTTTTCACTCTGCATCGCTGCCTCCATAACGGAAGACTTGAAACTCTAGACCTCTTGCTTGAGAAAGCAGAACAGGCTGGCAGCAGTGAGGACACCTTTCAAGAGAGTTACATTCTGCTCTTCCCACAGTTACTTAGCTTACAGCTGCACCACGCTGGCACACCTGGGCTCATAGAACCATGGAGCTGGCAGTGCTCTTAGCGGTCATCCGTGCAACCCCCTCCTTTTATACAGGAGAAAAAGCTGAGGCTTAGAGAGGGGGAGATATTTTGGCCAAGGTAATTTATTTCAGTTTTTTTCAAATATTGTTTGACTCTTAAAACACCTTTCTCTGTTTTAGTTTGTTTGTTTTTGAATTTCCAGGCAAAACGTTTTAAACTGAACTATGCCACTTATGGGAAACAGCCAGATAACAGGTAAGTACAGAGTAGCCACCAGGTAGCTTCAAGTCCTAGGAAATGTCTAGATAGAGACAAGATGTGTCACTGTGCTGTTCACTCCCAAAGAGGAGAATGGGGAGCCGAGTTTGGCCCTGCTTTGCCTCCCTCCTAAGGTCGACCCCCTCCCATCCCTATTGGTGGACGCTTCTAGTTTGCTTCCTGTCAAGGCCCATGTCTTCTCTATATTTGGTCCCTCCCCTAGTCCCATGACTGCCCACAGTATTGACATTTTATTCAGTAAGAATCAACCTGTTGTAGCAACATAAATTGATTGAGCATTCCAAATTGCTGTCTGAAAGCTTTAGAACAATGTATCAAAAGCTTTAGATAGAGTTGTACCCTTTGAACCTGTAATTCTGCTTTTCAGAGTTTATTCATTGATGTGTGTAAAGGTTAGCCTTGAAAGTGTTCTTTGATATCATATGATATCACAGTGGAATCTAAAAAAAGGATACAAATGAACTTATTTACAAAACAGAAGTAGAGCCATAGACTTAGAAAACTAACTTATGGTTCCTAGGGGATAAGGGGAGGGAGGGATAAATTGGGAGATTGGGATTGACATATACACACTACTATTTATAAATAGATAACTAATAAAAACCTACTGTGTAGCACAGGGAACTCTACTCAGTACTCTGTAATGGCCTATATAGGGAAATAAACCATAATGGAAAAGAACATGAAACAGTATATATATACTGATTCACTCACTGTACACCAGAAACTAGCACAACATTGTAAATCAACTATACTCCATTAAAAATTTTAAAAGAAAGTATTCATTGAAGTGTTACATATAATGGGCAAAATTGGGGGAAAACCCAAGTAATCTAATAATAGGGAAGGGGTTTAAATTACAATATGTTCATTATTTGGAATGCTGTGTATCTATGAATGTGCCATAGCAGAATTCATATGTTAAGATGTTGGTGAGATGCTAAAAGTGAAAAAAATGCTAGAAACAAAACGAGTCGTATCCAATTTTTGTTAAATTCAAAAGAAGCCAAAGAAAAAAGACAAAAGTATATATCAAAGTGTTCTTAGTGATTACCTTTGAGTGGTTGGGTTATTGGTAATTTTAGTTTTCTTTTTCCTTTTGTGTATTCTGACTTTAACTTGAAATAAAATAATAATGTTTGCTTTTTTTTTCTTAAAGAATTGTTCTAGAACAGGGGCTGGCAAACTGTGGCCTAATTTTGTTATCACCTGCAAGCTAAAGATGGTTTTAACTTTTTTTTTTTTTTTTTTTGGCTGTGCCGTGCGGCTTGCGGGATCCTAGTTCCCCAACCAGGGATTGAACCTGGGCCCTTGGCAGTGAGAGTCTGGAGTCCTAACCACTGGACTGCCAGGGAACTCCCTTTACATATTTACTTATGTATGTATGTATGCATGCATACCATGCCATGCCGTGCCATGCCACGCCACGTGGCATGCGGGATCTTAGTTCCCTGACAGGGATCGAACCCATGCCCCTCTGTGGTGGAAGCGTGGAGTCTTAAGCACTGGACCACCAGGGAAGTCCCCCCTTTACATTTTTAAAGGATTGTGAAAACAGACAAAGAAAGAGCAATAGAGACCAGAGGTGTTCCCAAAGAGCCTAAAATATTTACTATATGGCCTTCATAGAAAAAGTTTGCTGACCCCTGTCCTAAAAGTTGAGGCATTTCATGTTAGCACATCTTAAGGAGAGAAGGTTCAGTTCTCATTTTCCCTCTGCCTTTCACCATTTGAATTGAAAATATGCAGTGAATACAGAATCTCTAGTTTTATCTTTTGAGCACCTCTGACGTGTGCCCCTGTCTGCACTCATGTAATGCTTGAAGCCAGACAGGCGTTATACAGTGGGTGAGCGACCTGGGGCGGGGGACTCCTTCCGTAACTCTTCTGCCAGGACTGCCAAATGAAACAGATTAGGACCTGGTCAAGGACCCATCATGTGTGTTGTTGCCTAAGGCGGCCCAGAAAAGATTTACCTAGAATGGGCCAAAAGAGCTCATCAGAACAAAAGTTTGGGTCTTTGTCTCTGAATTTTGTTCTCTCTTCTCAGCCCCGAGTACTCCCTCTTTGTGGGGGACCTGACCCCAGATGTGGATGATGGCATGCTGTATGAATTCTTCGTCAAAGTCTACCCCTCCTGTCGGGGAGGCAAGGTGGTTTTGGACCAGACAGGAGTGTCTAAGTAAGGCCTTCGTTTTATTGATGCCTACCCTGTTGGTTGCAGCATTTATCTCATAGATGGAGGTGTGGTAACGAGGCCATGTTGCATTGTGGTTAAGAGCACAGGCTCTGGAGCTAAACTGCCTGGGGTGAATCCCAGCCTCAGTACTGCCCAGGGATTATGCAGCAGACAAGTTACTGAACCTCTGACCTTGTTTCCTCATCTGTGAAACGGGACTGATTAATAGTTTCTGCATCTCTCATGGGGTGGTTTAAGGATTGAATGATGTAATATAAATGAATCAATAGGAAATGCTTTATAGGTGTTTCTTCTTTTATTTATTATTGTTACTTTAAAAGTGGAATGACGGATTCATTTTGTTATAAAGCAGAAACTGACACACCATTGTAAAGCAATTATACCCCAATAAAGATGTTAAAAAAAAAAAAAAAGTGGAAAGACCTCAGGAAAGGTTTGTATGTATATATAGTCTTTTTTCATATTCTTTTCCATTATGGCTTATTACAGGATATTTATATAGTTTCCTGTGCTGTACAGTAGGACCTTGTTTATCTATTTTATATATAGTAGTTTGTATCTGCTAATCTCAAACTTCCAATTTACCTCCCCCACCCCCTTTCACCTTTGGTAACCGTAAGTTTGTTTTCTATGTTTGTGAGTCTGTTTCTGTTTTGTAAATAAGCTCATCTGTATCATATTTTAGATTCCACATATAAGTGAGATCATACAATATTTGTCAGGAAAAGTTCTTTCTTGATCTGAGTACTAGTTATGAGCTTGGGCTTTGAATTTGAATCCTGCTTCTACTGTGACTTTGGGCAAAGCTATTAAACCTCTCTGAACTTTGGTTCTGTCTTCAGTAGGATGTGGATACTCCCTTCATCAAGTTGTTGGACAGTTAATGAGATAATCCTGGGAAAATGCTCAGTACAATGCCTGGGAAGTAATAAATGGTCATTAAATGTTAGTTATCATTCATTTACCCCCCAAGTGGAATATGAGTTCAGGAGAGCAGGAACCTCATCTGCTTGTGACTGCTGAGTCCCAGTGCCTCGTGTGATACCGAGCATACTCGGTAAATATTTGCTGAGTGACCTTCTATGACTGTTACTACCGCTGCTACTATAATGATAATAATAATACTTTCAAGTAGATTGGGAGGTAAGCTCCTATTTTGGAAGAAGCCCTATCAGGACAGTATGGAAGAGACTGATGAACTGAAAGTGGGAATCCTGCAGATCTTGGGCTCCTGCAGTGCTTGAATCTCACGTGGCTCTGTGGCACCCCTCTGCTCATGGGGCTCTCAGCCCTGCCCCTGTGGTTTGATGGACTGTCTCCCTTCTCAGCCCCTTTTCCATTCTTAGGCTTTACCTCCATCACATTTGTGATCCAAATAGTGTGTGTTTTTCTTCTGCAGGGGCTATGGTTTTGTGAAATTCACAGATGAGCTGGAACAGAAGCGAGCCCTGACAGAGTGCCAGGGAGCAGTTGGACTGGGGTCTAAACCAGTGCGTCTGAGTGTGGCGATCCCTAAAGCGTGAGTCCCGCGCTGGCGTGGGGGCCAGGGAGGGCTTCTGGACTGACCCCCACCCACACACGCCTCGTCTGTTGTTGATAATCGGCGTCCACGTGCTGAATGGGAAGCTGCCAGGAGATTCAGTTCGGCCACAAATAATGAGTGCCTGATATTTGCCAGGCTGGGTGCTAGAGATGAGCTAGCATAACCCTGCCCCTCCAGAAGCTCATAGCTGGGGAGAGAGCTATGACTGGGGGAGGCAGATGCATTCAGACGTCGCTGGTAGTGATGCTGGAAGAGCAGTTTGGGTCTGCAAACTTCATGTCCCTGCTCTTTGCCCAGTAGTGCTGCTGTTAAAAATTTATCCATACAGTTAATAAGAATTGAGCAGAAAGAAGAAAGTTATACTTTTTAGCCAATTTTAGCCTTTTTTGTATCAATGAAACCTACAGACCTCTTATGAGTGTCCCTTGCTATGGGAGTGGCTAAGAATTCATGATGTAGGGAACATGATATAGGGAATTCCCACAAGCTGTGTGGTGCAGCCAAAAAAATTAATGATACAAACACAAGAGAATATGTACATCACTATTGTACCTGTCACTCTGTGCAGAAAACCCTTCTTTCCTTACAACTCCAAGCAGGTTTTTTACTCAGATGTAAGACAGTTTTTCTCTGCGTATAATCTTCCATCCTTTGGCTCAAGCAGTGGTTCTGAACTAGGGGTCATTGGAACACCTGAAGACAAATTTGGTTATCACAACTGGGGGAGAGGTGCTGCTGGCATCTAATGAGTACAGGCCAGGGATGCTACTAAACATCCTACAGTGCACAGGACAGCCCCTGTGACAAAGAACAATCTGCCCCCGCCATCCAAATGTCAATTTTGCCAAGGCTGAGAAACTCCGTGTTAAAAGTAGAAAAGTGGCTGCACTCTTAGGGCAGAACTTCCAAATGGCCATGTTTTTTAAAGCAGCAAAAGATTTGGAGGCTCTTTTCAGTTTAACAATGTTTAATACATGGAAGATCAGCTTTAGTGATTCCCCTCCTCCAAATATTATTTGTTTTGAGCCATATTTTTTAAAATATTTATTTATTTATTTATTGACTGCATCAGGTCTTAGTTGCGGCATGCAGGATCTCTAGTTGTGGCATGCAGGCTCAGTAGTTGCGGCGTGTGAGCTCTGTATTTGTGTCACACAGGCTCAGTAGTTGTGGTGCGTGGGCTTAGTTGCTGTGCGGCATGTGGGATCCTAGTGCCCCAACCAGGGATTTGAACTGGCCTCCCCTAGTTGTAAGACCAGTTCTTAACCAGTGGACTACCAGGGAAGTCCCTGAGCTCTGTTGTGTATATAAAAACATTAAAGAAAATATTTAAAAGAAAGGAATGTTCTCATTACTCTAAAATGACTGCTTATAATTTCTGGGTTCCTTTCCAGGCTTCTCCATAAGCTTCTGTGATGTATAAATATAGATACAGATGTAGATGTAAAAACGCACACACTACATATATTTGGGTCAATTTACATGTGGTAGATTCATTTCTTTATTCATTTTTTAAAAAATATTTTATTTATTTATTTATTCATTCACTTGGCTTCATCGAATCTTAGTCGTGGCTCATGGGCTCTTCATTGCGGCACGCAGGCTTCACTTTAGTTGTGGCCCATGGGCTCCCGAGCATGCGGGCTCAGTAGTTGCAGCACACAGGCTCTAGAGCGCGAGGGCTTAGTTACCTGTGGCATGTGGGATCCTAGTTCCCCAACCAGGGATCAAACCCGTGTCCCCAGCATTGGATGGTGGATTCTTAACCACTGGACCACCAGGGAAGTCCCTCTTTATTCATTTTTAAATTACAATAACAGTGCTCACTCTTTTTCTTCCCCAGTTTACTCATTATACACACTTTGCCATTGAGTTGCACAGTCGTCGTCATTGTAATGTTTTTAATAGCTGCAAGATATTCTTTTGATTGTGTATTCTGTCTAGCAGTTCCTCTGATGTTTACTATTTTGGTTGTTTCTGCTGTGTCACCATTTATTCAGTCAACCATAATGAGTCCCTAGAACTGCAGCCCCACCCTAGACTTTGAAATTGTAGCTATAGACAAGAGAAACAAAGTCTCTTCTGCAGGGAGCTTATGTTCTGTTACATCTGTTTCTTCACTGAACATTGTCAGTATTTGATGCCTGCCTGTGGGGAGTGGCCCTCAAGCACTGGGAATTGAAGGTGATAAGAGTTCCCTTCGAGAGTTAGCCTGTAAGAGCTGAGTGTGGAGAAACAGAAGAGAAGCGTGCAGACCCAGGCCAGAGAGCCTGTACCTCCAGTGACCTGAACATGTCAGGAGGGAGGTGGGCTCCTTGGACACATGGCCGGGGTGCGGGGTAGCATGGAGGCGAATGTTAGCAGTTTCCAGCCTGACAGTGGGCGTAGAGAGGGAATCTGCCGTCGAACTTCATCAAGCCACCCCATCAGGATGTGATGCTAAGGAAATCAGATATGGTCTGTCTAACTGGTCTGGCTGAGTCCTGCTCACCAGACAGACATTAAACTCACAAGGAACTTGGTTCCACGTGGTTTTTTACGTTTTTGAAATCAGTGGATCCTTTGCAGGTTTGACATTCTGTCTTTGGTTAGCAGTGGCTGGGATAGCCGTGGAATCAGAGAAGAAAGCTTTCTGCTGACCCTAGGCCTCAGCCCTGATTGGTGAATGCAGGAAGTTGGGGACGCGCAAGGGGTCTTGAGTCTGTCAGGGCAGGAGCTGTATGTAGTGGTGTGGTGGTAGGAGTGTGAGCCTTGGAGTTAAATTTGGCTTCATTCCTCTGAGTAGTCTTGGGTAAATCACTTAACTTTTCAGAGGCTCAGTGTTCTCATCTGTAAAATGGGAATAATAAATAATAGCTCTATCACAGAGCTTTGCAGGACTTAAAATAGGAAACTATGTATGAAAAATAATGGTCACAGGGACTTCCCTGGTGGTCCAATGGTAAAGAATCCCCCTTACAATGCAGGGGACACAGGTTCGATCCCTGGTCAGGGAAATAAGATACCACATGCCACGGGGCAACTAAGCCCATGCGCCACAACTACTGAGCTCACGTGCAGCAACTAGAGCCCACGTGCACCAAACTACAGAGTCCACGCACTCTGGAACACGCGCACCACAACTGCAGAGCCCACGTGCCCTGGAACCTGTGTGCCACAACTAGAGAAGAGAAAACCCACACACCACAACTAGAGAGAAGCCCACGCACCACAACAAAGAGCCCGTGTGCCGCAACAGAAGATCCCGCATGCCTCAACGAAGATCCCGCGTGCTGCAACTAAGACCCAACGCAGCCAAAAATAAATTAATAAATAAATCTTTAAAAGGAAAATAATGGGCACAAATCTCAAGTACCTACTCCATAAATGGTAGCTTTGACTACAGTTCCAGGCTACTAAAACGCTTCTCTTGTGTTTTTGTGGGGAAAAGGTGGTAAGATATTTTGTAATTTAAAATGCTTCTTGGGTCATTATAAATCCAGATCCTCCAGGCCATGTTCACCTGAGCCTTTGTGGCTGGCAGAAAAACAGCCCTCTAAGAACTTGAGAAGGGGAAAAGTCAGTACTAACAAGGTTTGACAAGAGAGACAAACCTAACCATTGAAAACTCCCATCATTTTTTTTTGTTTTTGGCCATGCTGCATAGCCCACAGGATCCCAGTTCCCCGACCCGGGATCGAGCCCAGGCCCTTGGCAGTGAAAGTGTGCAGTCCCAACCACTCGACCACCAGGGAATTCCTGAAAGTTCCTATCTTTAAAGCTGGGCTCTGGGACCAGACTGCCTGGGTTTGAATCTATTATTCGCTGTGTGACTTTGGACAAATGATGTAACCTCTCTGTACCTCAGTTTTCTCATCTATAAAATAGGAATAATGGTATATTTACTGCATAGCACCATTGTAGGGATTAAATGAGTTAATCTGCGTAAAACATTCAGAACAGTCCCTGGTCATATAGTGTTATGGAAATGTTTGCTTATTTGTTTATTTCTTCATTTAAGGAGCCGTGTGAAGCCAGTGGAATATAGTCAAATGTACAGTTACAGCTACAACCAGTATTACCAGCAGTACCAGAACTACTATGCCCAGTGGGGCTATGACCAGAACACAGGCAGCTACAGCTACAGTTATCCCCAGTATGGCTATACCCAGAGCACCATGCAGGTAACCGTGATTTGGCCGGTCTGGCCCTCTTGGGTTACATCATCCTGTAGAGACCTGGGTGATTCTCCAGGATGGGATGGGTAAGGACGGGAGCTTGGGCTTCAGAAAAAAACAGAAGGAAAGATGAAGCAGCTTAGTTCCTCTTATTAAAAATAAACCATCCTAGTCATGGGCCAGGATTTCACCATGCTTCTCACCCACCTCTCTGGTCTCTTGGCAGACATATGAAGAAGTCGGAGATGATGCATTGGAAGGTAAGAAAGGAATCCCTTCACTCAGTGCATAAGATGTGAGTGTCATCCGAGGGGGCAGTGCAGATCTCAAAGCACCCTGGGGAGCAACTGACAGGGGAGGGAGCCCTGACAGGATATAGGTCTGTAGCAAAGACACCATTGCCTTATATTTGTTTCACAGTTTGTAAAATTTATTTTTTTCACTTCATGTTTTAATTTTTTCCCATATATCTTTAAATTACTTGTTTTTTTCACTCAAGTAATAGTTATTGAAAGTTTGAAAAATACAGTAAAGTATTATGAAGAAACTGAAAATCACCCCTAATTTTTCTACATAGTAATAGCCATTATTACTTTTTTAAATTAAAAGTTTATTATGATTTTTACTGAATTTAACAGAAGAAAAAGAAAGGAAAACCAGAGGAATTGCTAACCATCAGACAAATGTTTTTTTCAAATGAGATATTCGTACTTCTTAAAGGAGTTTCTAAGGTTTGCAAAATTATAAAAAACAAGATTTTTTTTCAACATGTTTCTGAACAGATGTTAGGTTTAAGGTTTAAAGAAATAACAGTTGTCAAAAAATCAGACATTGATTTCTAAGTAAATAAAACTTTATGTAAGATAGATTTTAAACTTTGAGTCTTTTTCTAAGTCTGTTTTAAGAATTATTCTTTAAGAGAAGGTCAGGGGCTTCCCTGGTGGCGCAATGGTTAAGAATCCACCTGCCAATGCAGGGGACACGGGTTCGAGCCCTAGTCCAGGAATACCCACATGCCATGGAGTAACTAAGCCTGTGCGCCACAATTACTGAGCCTGCGCTCTAGAGCCTGTGAGCCACAACTTCTGAAGCCTGTGCACCACAACTGCAGAAGCCTGTGTGCCTAGAGCCCGTGCTCTGCAGCAAGAGAAGCCACTGTAGTGAGAAGCCCGCGCACTGCAAAGAGTAGCCCCCGCTCACCACAACTAGAGAAGGCCCGCGCACAGCAACAAAGACCCAACACAGCCAAAAATAATAAATAAATGAAATAAATTTATTTTAAAAAAAAAAGAAAGAGAAGGTCATAGGGAAAGTGTGATCTGTAAGCAAAATATCCTTTAAAGGAAACATCTGCAGGCAAAAAACAAACTTGTCTACTCCGTAGCATTTTTTTTTTCAAATTTAATTTTTCAAATTGGGAGGTAAGCTTACTTAAATATTAATGGGAAAATTGCTAAGAGGAACAAGAGCGCGATTATGTATTTAGAGGGATTCATACAAATGATTAAGCTGTTGACCAGCAGAAGAAACATCTATTGGATAAAGCAAATCTGTTAGTGGGAGGGGCAGCTATTATATTAATATCTATTGGGAGAAATGACATATAATTCATTAAAATGTTTTAAAAAACTATACATATAGGAATATTGTATATACTTAATAGCATTTTAAAGCACTTTCACTTATGTGCTGTCATCTAATTCTGGCAGCAGTGACCCTAGGGGTGGGCTGGGCAGGACATTGAGCTCAGTTGGCGGATGGGGAGTTGGCGATCCTCGCTGTCTTCTCAGGGTCACACAGTGAGTTAGAAGCAAGGTTGAACCTGGGGTCCCTGTCTTTCTATCCTCAGTCTCTCACCGTGTCCTGCAGGAAACATTGCATTGCCTCCTTTTTAAAGAAATTATCCTGATTGTAATAATATTTGTGTATAACTCCTTAGAATTTTTCTATTTCTTTCTCATCCATTAATAGTATAATAATAGCCAACATATTTTGTGCCAGGCACTGCTGCCTGTCAACACTTTGATGAGTAGGTACTGTTATAAACCCCATTCTACAGAAAAGAAAAACTGAAGCTTAGGTAGTTAATAATAGCTAATAGGTTGTACTATATGCAGGGCATTGTTCTAAGCACTTTACATGTATTAACTCATTTTACCTCCACTACGGCTTTGAGGTAAGTACCACAATTATCTTGATTTTACAGAAGAGAAAACAGGTAGAGAAGTTAAATTACTTGTTCAAGGTCAGCATAGTTGCAAGAGGTGGACTGTCTTGGAACCCCTGCAGTCTTGCCCCAGACTTCATGCTCTTTACCACACAGTTATGATTTCTCCCTTTTTTTTTTCTTGGCCACCTCGCATGGCTTGCGGGATCTTACTTCCCCCACCAGGTGTTGAACCCACACCTTTGGCAGTGAAAGCGTGGAGTCCTAACCACTGGACCGCCAGGGAATTCCCTAACACCTCCCATTTCAACCTAATAGCCACACAGTGATGGGACACCGCAGGGATTGTCATCTTTCTTCATCTATCCCTTGGCTCAACAGGCCATCCTCCAGGCCCAGTCTTCAGAGTGAGGAAGGGTGCTTTATTGTACGTGTGTCCATAGAGTTCCACACACCCAAATGCCTGCCCTTGGGGATTCTCTGGTGGTCCAGTGGTTAGGACTCGGGGCTTTCACTGCCATGGCCTGGGTTCTGTCCCTGGTCGGGGAACTAAGATCCTGCAAACCATGTGGCACGGCCAAAAAAAACCGCAAACAAACAAGCAAATGAAAAACAACAAGAAAACAAATGCCTGCCCTTGATGGAGCCCTTTGCTAGTCTGTTCCCATATGCTGATACCTCCACTGAGTGGAGTGACTGGAGTTTCCATATGGAGATGCTGTACATGCTCAAAGCCTCAACTCATAATTTAGATTAAAATTACAAGAGAAAGAAATATCCCTCTGGTGGCAGAAACGGACACAGTACTTATGTGAAAAGATTCACCACTGACTGGTTGATTCAGCACTCACTGGTTGATTCTTAAGAGTAGCTGAGGGCTTCCCTGGTGGCGCAGTGGTTGAGAGTCCGCCTGCTGATGCAGGGGACACGGGTTCGTGCCCCGGTCCAGGAGGATCCCACATGCCATGGAGTGGCTGGGCCCGTGAGCCATGGCCGCTGAGCCTGTGCGTCCGGAGCCTGTGCTCCGCAACGGGAGAGGCCACAGCAGTGAGAGGCCCACGTACTGCAAAAGATGCTAAAAGATGGAACCAAGACCAATAGATAGAAGTTACACAGAAACTAACACACCATTGTAAAGTAATTATACTCCAATAAAGATGTTAAAAAAAAAAAAAAAAGAGTAGCTGAGAAAACTGGAAACAATTTACAGAAGAGACTTCCCTGATGGCACAGTGGTTAAGAATCCGCCTGCCAGTGCAGGGGACACGGGTTCGAGCCCTGGTCCGGGAAGATCCCACTAGCTGCGGATCAACTAAGCCCTTGAGCCACAACTACTAAGCCCGCGTGCCTAGAGCACGTGCTCTGCAACAAGAGAAGCCACTGCAATGAGAAGCCTGCGCACCGCAACGATGAGTAATGTGTGCTCACCTCAACTAGAGAAAGTCTGCTCGCAGCAATGAAGACTCAATGCAGCCAAAAATAAATAAATATATAAAAAAGGGGAAAAAATATACAAAAGAAGCACAAATGGTCTATAAACCACAAGAAAAAAGAATTTAAACATACATTATTTTGTGTCAGTCAAGGTTCTCCAGAGAAACAGAGCCAATAGGATATACGTATTTATAATCTGTAAGGTGGGCCAGCAAGCTGGAAACTCTGGCAGAATTTCTGTATTACTGCCTAGAAGTAGAATTCCTTCTTTGGGAAACCTTGAGTTTAAGGCCTTAAGGCCTTTAATTGATTGGCTAAGGCCCACCCATGTTATTGAGAGTAATCGTTACTTAAAGTCAGTTGATTTGTTGATGTTAACGACATCTACAAAATATCTTCATCTAGACTGGGCACCAGTAACCTAACCAAGTTGACACATAAAATGTAACCATCACACTGCTAATACTAGTAATCAAATACAAATTAAAATATACTATGTTTCTGTAAAGAATTCTTACAATGTTCATGTCCATTGAATCAATTTTACCTGAAAGATTTTATCCCAAAATGATATCAGTACAGATAAATATCTAATAATAGGGGATTTGTTAGACAAATACAGTAAGGTTTTTGTTTGTTTTAATAAATTTATTTATTTATTTTTGGCTGCGTTGGGTCTTAGTTGCTGCGCCCGGGCTTTCTCTAGTTGCAGGGAGAGGGCTACTCTTCATTGCGGTGTGCGGGCTTCTCATTGCAGTGGCTTCTCGTTGTGGAGCACAGGCTCTAGGTGCGCGGGCTTCAGTAGTTGTGGCACACGGGCTTAGTTGCTCCGCGGCATGTGGGATCTTCCTGGACCAAGGCTTGAACCCATGTCCCCTGCATTGGCAGGGGGATTTTTTTTTTTTTTTTTTAATTTATTTATTTATTTTTGTCTGTGTTGGGTCTTCGTTTCTGTGCGAGGGCTTTCTCCAGTTGTGGCGAGCGGGGGCCACTCTTCATCGCGGTGCGCAGGCCTCTCACTGTCAGGGCCTCTCCCGTTGCGGAGCACAGGCTCCAGACATGCAGGCTCAGTAGTTATGGCTCACGGGCTTAGTTGCTCCGCGGCATGTGGGATCTTCCCAGACCAGGGCTCGAACCCGTGTCCCCTGCATTGGCAGGCAGATTCTTAACCACTGAGCCACGAGGGAAGCCCGGCAGGTGGATTCTTAACCACTGTGCCAACAGGGAAGTCCAGTAAGGTTTTTCTTAAGACTTTTTGTTTGTTTTATTAAATCATGTCTTTCTCTAAGAATATTGACATAGGAAAATGTTCTCAGTGAAAAAAGTCCTGAAATAGGATATACAGGAAGATCCCAGTTAGGGTTTTTTGTTTTTTATTTTGGGGGATATAATTCACATAAAATAAAATTCACCCTTTTAAAGTGTAGAATTCAGTAGTTTTTAGAATAGTCACAAAGTCTTGCAGCCATTACCACTAATTCCAGAAGAAACCCTGTGAAACCCCTAGCAGTCACTCTCCAATATCCTTTCCCTGGCAACCACTCATCTACTTTGGATTTACCAATCCTGGACATTTTAAATAAATGGAATCATGTATGATGTGTGGTCCTTTGTGAATGGCTTCTTTCACTTCTTTCACTTAGTGTTTTCAAGATTCATCTATGTTGTAGCATGTCATTCATTTCTTTTTATGGTTGAATAATATTCCATTGTATGGATATCCATTTTGTTAATGGACATTTGTTTCCACTTTTGGTATTATGAATAATGCTGCTATGAACATGCGTGTATAAGTTTTTGTGTGGATATAGAAAAGTCTTCAGTACTCTTGGGTATATACCTAGGAGTGCATTGCTGGATCATGTAGTAAATTCTTTTTAACCATTTGAGAAATGGCCAAACTTTTCCAAAAGGGCTTGAAGCATTTCCATTCCCAGTAGCATATGAGAATTCCAGTTTCTCCACATCCTCACCAACAGTCATTATTTTTCATTTTAGCTATCTTAGTGGCTTTGAAGTGGTATCTCATTATGGTTAGACTTGCACTTCTCTGACGGCTAATGATGTTGAGCATACTTTCGTATGTTTATCGGCCATGTGTATATCTTTTTTTGAGAAATGTCTATTCAAGTCTTTTGCCCATTTTTAAATTGGGTTGTCTTTTTGTTGAGTTGTAAAAATTCTATTTTTTTCTAGTAGCTTTTATCTTTGAAGATTGTTCAGGCTATTTTGGGTGCCTTGCATTTCCATACAAATTTAATGATCAGCTTGTCAATTTCTGCAACAACAAAAAAAGGCAGCTGCGATTTTGATAGGGATCACATTGAATCTATAGATCACTCTGGGGAGTATTGCCATCTTAACAATACAGATCTTCCTCGACTTAACATTAAGTCAAAAATGCATTTAATACACCTAACCTACCGAACGTCATAGTTTAGCCTAGCTTAAACAGGCTCAGAACACTTAACATTAACCTACAGTTGGGCAAAATCATCTAACACAAACCCTATTTTATGATAAACTGTTGATTTTCTCAATTTATTGAATACTGTAATCCTAGTGAAAAACAACAGTTTCAGTGTATTACTTGTTTACCCTCGTGATCATGTGACTGCTGCTGCCCAGCGTCACAAGAATATTGTACTACATATCGCTAGCCCGGGAAAAGATCAAAATTCAGTTTCTACTGAATGTGTGTCACTTTTTTACCATCATAAAGTTGAAAAATCGTGAGTTAAACCATCATTAAATCGAGGACCATCTGTATTTGTCTTCCAGTCAGAGTACGTGGGATTTCTTTATTAAGATCTTTAATTTCTCCAGTTAATTTTAAAATGTTTTAATGAATGGGTGTGTACATTTTATTTTTTAAATTTATTTATTTATGGCCACACCCTAGGCATGCGGAACTTCCCCAACCAGGGATGGAACCCATGCCCCCTGCTTTGGAAGCACGGAGTCTTAACCACCAGGGAAGGCCTGGTGTGTGCATTTTTGTTTTTGTTTTTGTTTTTTTTTGCGGTAAGTGGGCTTCTCACTGTTGTGGCCTCTCCCTCTGTGGAGCACAGGCTCCGGACGTGCAGGCTCAGCGGCCATGGCTCACGGGCCCAGCCGCTCCGCGGCACGTGGGATCTTCCCAGACCAGGGCACGAACCCGTGTCCCCTGCATCGGCAGGCGGACTCTCAACCACTGCGCCACCAGGGAAGCTCTGGGTGTGTGCATTTTAAACCAACAATACTGAAAGGAAAATATAAAATGTTATCAGTCATAGTAACTGAGGATTCTTTTAAACTTTTTGAATTGTGAAATACAAGTACATGGAAAAGTAGATAAAACATGTATAGTTTGACATGTAATGGTGAAATGCCCATGAAACCTTCATTCAGGTCAAGTGGAAACATTGCCAACATTCCCACAGTCACAACCCCCAACCCCGCTAAGGAAAACTACTTACTGTATTGGGTTTTGTAGGGACAAAACTTCTCTTTATAGTTTTATCACATAGATATGCATCCCTAAATAGCAGGGTTTGGTTTTGCTTGTTTTTGAACTTCAATGCCATTGTACTGTATGTACTGTCTTGGTTCTTTCAATACTCAGCATTTTGTTTGTGAGACTCATCCAAGTTGGATGCAGCTGAGGTTCATTTTCAATTCCCTCCTAAGGATAATTTGTTAGGGGTTTAAAAAAAAAGAAAACTATATGTATTTTGTCATGATTTCTGGTGAACAAATACCACTATTGCAATCAAGAAAGACGAGTTTAAAAATACAGGACTTGGTGTTTCAGCTCCTGTATTTGACCATAGCTCTTTCATTAGACATTCATTGTTCATGATTATTTTGTTGATCAGATTTTCCAAACCCAAATTGAAAAACAGGACCACATCAGAAAATCCGGTGCATGTGACAGCTAGAGATATGTGTAGTGTTTAATAAATGTGGAGTAACAGCTGCCATTATTTGAGTTCTAATTACATGTGTTACATTCTGAGTACAGGTGACCCTTGATCAGCTCAACAGTTAGGGGCACCTACCAACCTCACAAGTCAAAAATCCACATGTAACCTATAGTCAGCCCTCCCTATCCTGTTACTCCACATCTTCAGATTCAACCAACTGTGGATAGTGTAGTACTGTAGCGTTTACTCTTGAAAAAATCCACATACAAGTGGACCCACGCGGTTCACACTCATGCTGTTCAAGTGTCAACTGTGCATTACCCTGTTTTCATCCTCACAGAAAGCCTGCAGGGCAGTGCTGTCAGCCCACGAGAGGAAGGAGAGTACTGAGTCTCTTGTGGCTGCTGAGTGCTTCTCCCCTCTGTGCCCCCTGAACCCATCCTTGCTTCTCTTCCAGACCCCATGCCACAGCTGGATGTGACTGAGGCCAACAAGGAGTTCATGGAGCAGAGCGAGGAGCTGTACGACGCACTGATGGACTGTCACTGGCAGCCCCTGGATACAGTGTCTTCAGAGATCCCCGCTGTGATGTAGCCAGGACAAGGCACAAGCCACAGTGGGCTTTGTGAGGGAGCTAAGAGACTCCTTTTTTAAAAAAAGATTTTCAAGAACTTTTACCTTTTTTGAAATTTGTTAAGATTTTAGTAATCAACTGTTTCCTGAAATTATGAATTCATTTCCTGGGATACTGCTGCCTTCATTTGAGCCATATGAGTTTGAAAATGAAGGGACCAGTTGTTAGAAGAGGGTTGAATGAGGTTCCAGTTTATCTTTGAACAATAATCATTTATCCAGGTAGGGTTGTCTACACTCCTGGAGATAAGGATTAACCACCAAAGTTAACAGTTACTAAAACCAACTTCTTAGGTGACAGGCACATTAATCCTTAAGGTTCTCTTGAGGTCAGAATGCATGGACTGCCTGCAGGAATCGTGCCAAATGGTGGGCAATTATCTGCTTTCAGGTATTCCCTTCCCCCAACAAACTTGCTTCCAGTCTGGTGGCTAGGCAGAGTTCATTATTCAGACTGGGGAGGAAGTGGCCCATTGAGAGAGGTGTTGGAGCCAGCTTAAGCTAGACCAAAAGTCCTGGATTGTTTTAGGTAAAGCCTGTACTATCTGTGCCAAGCCCACCTGTTAGTAGATATTAATCCATTTATATATAGGAACCAGTAACCTGACCATGAGGTCAACCATCACCAAACCAGATCTTGATGCCAGCCTTACCCATCTCTGTATTTATTTTCCAAATAAATTAGGAGATCCCATTTAACTTACCACAAGGACCCTCCTGAAAAGCCTTACCTATAGCTTTGTGCTAGGAAACTGGGGGGGGGGG